GAGAGGAAGGGAGAAGATAGAAACATTGATGTGAGAGCATAACATCACTTGGCTGCCTCCTGTATGCCCCCTACTGGGGATCAAGCCCACAACATGGGCAAGTGCCCTGACTGAGAATTGAACCAGCAACCTCTCTGTCCATAGGATGATGCCCAACCAACTGAGCCACACTGACTAGGGCAGAAGTTAAGTAATATTTCAATAGCCAGAGATGATGATGAGGGCATTCCCAGCGCAGGGGAGAGCTTGGGCAAGAGCATGGAAGGGCATATTTGGACAATGGAGACTAGACCATTTGGCTGGAACACTGCCCTGGGGTGACAGTATTATGGGCCGAGGTCAGGCCTGATTCTGTGGGTGATAGGAAGTCATTATAGTCCTGATTAAAGTGGCATGAGAAGATGTATGCATAGCCTTATGCAGTTCTTCTCAGAGTGAGATCCATGTATCCCTGGACCTCCCCATGACCCTTTTAAAAGATCTTCAAGGTCAAAACTATTTTCAAAATAACACTAAAATGTTCTTTGAGTATTACACTGGGTTGACATTGGCACTGATGGTGCAAAAGCAGTGGTGGGTAAAATAGCAGGCGTCTGGGCATAAATCACGGCAGTGGCACCAAATCATACTGGTTGCCATTGGATTCTCCAACGCCATGCACTTTCAGTTAAAAAACAAAAAGCCAGCTTCAATTAAGAATGCTGTTAGCTAAGCAGTAATAGTTAACTTTATTAAATATTGACTCTTGAATGGGAAATCTGCTTCAAGCACTTCTGCTGAAAACCATAGAGCAATGGTTGACCCAAGGCAGAGCACTTGTGCAGTCATTTGAGTTTTGAGCTGAACTGGCTGATTTTTCATAGAACATCATATTTACTTAAAAAAAACACTAATGTTACTCAGCTTTGGGTATTTGGCAGGCATTTTCTCATAAACGAACAAAGTGAGCTTATTACTTCAAGGAAAACAACTGACAGTATTTTTTTGCAAGTGATAAAATCTCAGCTTTAAAGCAAAAATTAGAATTTTGAAAAGCTTGGATCCACCGCTGTGAGCTTGACAGCTTCCCAATACTTAAAGACTTTTCCAATGAGATGGATGGTTATAGGAACAAATGTGTTGTATTTTTGATGTTGTAGAATGAAAAGTGTCAACATATGAAAGCTCTGCCTCACTCAGGGCATTTATATTTTCCAAGTGACCAATGCATGCTGTTACCAAACCACAAATGGGTAAAAGTTTCATTCAAAGGATAAGAGAGTCCTGTGGAGTTTAATGGAACCAACTATGGAAAGTTCATGATACACATTCCACACAGCACTTAACCTGTAACAATCATGGTTTTGATATCATACCAAAGGAGAATGTCCACAATTATATGGAAAGCCTACTAATATATCTCTCCCTCTTTCATTTGCATATCTGTGAGAGGCTGGATTTTCTTCTTATATTTCAGCCATAACAAGAAAGGATAACTGAATAAAGAATTAGATGTGAGAATCTAGCTTTCTTCTATCAAGTCAAATATTGGGAAACTTTGAAAAAAAATAAAATAATGTAATTTTTCAAAACAAGTTTTTGTTTTAGAAAATGAGGTTATCTTCATTAGCGTATTATTCATATTTGTGTGAAATAAGTTTATTATTTTAATTTCATTATTAATAAATAACTAAACATTTTAACAATTTTGTTTCTGATATGTTTAACATGAAGAGATGTAACTCACATAAAGAAATGCTCCTTGGGCTCCTCAGCAATCTTTTACTTCATTGTATTCTGATATTTTTATTGAGGTGAAATTCACATGACATAAAATTAATCATTTTACACCACACAATTTATTGGCATTTAGTGCATTCACAATGTTGTGCAACTATAATCTCTCTCCAGTTCCAGAACATTTTCTTCACCCCAAAAGGAAACGCCATACCCATTAAGCCGTCACCCTCCTGTCTTCCTCTTAGTTCCTGGCAACCACTAATCTACTTTCTGTCTCTGAGAATTTACCCACAATACATTTTAAGAGTACAAAGGGTCTGAGAACAAATAGTTTGCAAACCACTGGCTTAGTGGCTCAAATCCCAGCTCTGCTTTTATTAGCTGTGATATCTTGGTCAAATCATTTAACTTCCAGGAGTCTAATTTTCTTGACCCCTAAAATGGACATAATAGTAGCATATTTTTAAAAAATCCTCACCTGAAGATATGTTTATTGATTTGAGATAGAGAGGGAGAAAGAGAGAGAGAGAGAGAGAGAGAGAGAGAGAGAGAGAGAGAGAGAGAAACATTGATTGGTTGCCTCCTGTACACGCCCCAATGGGGGATCAAACCCACAACCTAGGTATGTGCCCTGACTGGGAACTGAACCTGCAACTCTTTGGTGAATGGGATGACACTCCAACCAACTGAGCCACCCAGCCAGGGCAATAGTAGCATCTTCATGGAGCTATTGTGAGGATTAAATGGAAATATTCATGTAAAGTACTTGGAACACTATAGATACTCATGGAGGAAGCATTTATTCCATTTTCATACACTCTTTCTCTAGATGTGACTGGCAATATCTTGAGAACAAGAGCCAAGTCTTATTTATCTCATTACCACTTGCTTCCCAGCTATGAGATACTAGTGAGTAACTTTGACTCTCTGAGCCTTGTTTTTCTCATCTATAAATTGAAGCTAATTATAATACTCATCTCAAAGGGTACTTATGAGAATCAATGTAGGATTGAATGCTTGCAACATTCTCAGTACACAGGAGGCCCTCAATGGCAGATAGTTGTTAGGGGGTAGTGAAGATGACAGTGACACTGATGAAAATACTGACACTGTGCCTCTTGGCTCACACACTTGTGTGCAGCTCAGGATTCACCACTGAAGTTTGGTCCTTCATGTAGGCTATTTGGACCCATAACATGCTCTTCCCAGGAGATGATAGGATCATGGCAGCACCATCTGCCAAGTGCCCTTAGTCTTTGCTTAGTGGATTTCTATGCACAGGCTGTTTGGGCTTTGGAAGAACAAATGAATTTACATTAAGCTTTCCTGCCAGAGCCATACCTCAGCTCCAGCTCCAGAGGATATGCCAGTCCCCCAGTTCTGCACTCAGCTAGATTAAAGGGAACTTTGACAACTGGCTGGTGGAAGTTCCCAAGATACTCTGGAAAGACCCTAGGCACTCAGACTTGAGAGGTGTTTTCTTTTTTTATCCTCAAGAGAGGAAGGGAGAGAGGGAAGAGAATGAGAGAGAGAGAGAGAGAGAGAGAGAGAGAGAGAGAGAGAGAGTTGCCTCCTGTAAGAGCCCTGACCAAGGATGAAACCCGAAACCTGGGTATGTGCCCTGACTGGGAATCCAACACACAATCTTTTGATGCTCCAACCAACTGAGCCATCAGACCAGGGTGAGAGGTGCTTTTATACATGCCTGGTAGTTCCCAATAGCCCCCTTCCCACACACCCTCTTTGCTTAGCAAAGGAAAGAAACCTGCTCTGCTACCAAAGTCCATTTAGATGATTCAAGAATCCCTGGGGTCAATCTGTCTTGACATGTGGATCCATACCTGTCAGGCCTATAGCTGTTGGCTCTGGGCCTTGCAGTTATAAGCTGACCCCCCTTGAAGCTAGAGATGCCACTGTTCAGCCACCTTTAACTGCCACATTTACCCTTCTAAGAAAGCTGAGGTCTTGTCAAAGTTATTTTAATAGTGGCAAGCTGAGGAAGGTTGACCCTCTCAGCCACATCCCCAAAGGGCATGTAAAGTGGTGGGGTGGAGAGAAGATAAGACTGGGAATCAGGAGACTTAGAGTCAACCCTTCTGAGGACTGAAGATGTGATCTACCTGGGCCTAAGTTTCCCCATTTGGAGAATGAGAAGGTTGGACTACATCTAGGTTTTTGGATTTTAGTCAACATTAGTCAAGGAGAAACAACCATTGAATGTTTACTTTCCTGATGCCCGAGGAGAGTCTACCTGGTTCACTTTGCCCTGGAGAGGCTTGCTCTGGTCCCAAGGACCTGAATGAAATAGGCAAGGGACAATTTTACCCTGAGTGAGTGACATAAAAGAGCACATAACACAGAGAAAACTGGCCACCCCAAGATTCATCCAAATGGGAAGAGAGTATCTTCCTGCTCATAGACAGGGTACCCATGGGGACAGTGAGCCAAAGGCAGATTAGTATATCTGCTGCTGGTAGTAGTAGCAAATGTGTGTAAGGCCTGGAGCAATTAATTGGGTGGTCTCAGAGACTCTGGAAACAGCCTGAGGATAATATGGACTGTATCCCTCACATAATACACACACCATATACTTTGGGTTCTGAATGCTTGTGGTTTTCAGTCCCCTGACACTCTATCTGATCATCGCAGATACCACCTGCCCTGCTCTCTGCTGTGTCCTTCTTATGGAGTCAGTTGCCTCTAGCTGACCTGGATAGGGCCACAGTTCCAATGGGGTCTACTCTTGAACAACTCTGCAGGGCTGACTTAAATCCGTTCTAGAGGTAGGCAGGGTGGGAAATCGGAGTCACTCACAGGGAACTCTCCAGGCTTCATTCTGACTAGGGCTGAATCCAATCTGGGAGTTGCATGGGATTTTTTATCACTTCCTTTCTCATTGTATAAAGAAACCCTCTTCAGCCAAGGTGTGCACTCTAGCTCCCCTGGCTAGCTGCTGGCTCCTTTTCTCAGCTAGCTGGCTCTACTCCCAGCTTTCCTTTTCATCCCCCTCTCTGTCTGGCTCCTGCAACTCTACTTTGTATCTTCCTTGCTGACTCAAGCCTCTCTCAGCACTTCCTGCTCCTCCCAGCCCATTCTTCTCTCTAGCCCCCACACTCACTGGCGCTCTTAGAAGCCTTTGAAGGTCAGCGTCTCAGGTCTAGTCTGACATAGCAGAGATGTAAGCAGGCTATGCTACCTGCAGCCCAGACCCTAAGAAGACAGAGGCCCTGAGTAGGGACTGAGGCCCCAGTGCTGAGTTGAGCCCACAGCTGTATGAGCAGATGTTGCAGCAAAGAGAGCAGCAGCCTGGCAAGGTGGAGCCCAAGCTGCAGGGACCAGGCCACCTGAGCAACCTGGGAGAACAGGTAAGGCAGTCAGCCATAAGAAGCTTGAATCCACAGGTAGTTCCATTGCACAAGACCATGTCTACACAGACTGAGCCTCCATCTGTGGGTGAGGGCTTCACCTGCATGCTATGAGGCTCTGCCATGAGACTCATGCTGCATCTGCATGGAGACTAGCCCTCTAAGGAGATGCAGATGGTGTCCACCCAGGAGGAGGCTCCACAAAGAAAAGAGAACTATGCCACCAATGGACAAGACTACAGAGATACAGGTTGCTTCTACACAGAGCCCAGCTCTGCTTGAAGAGGTAAACACAACAAATGCAGAACAGCACCTACGCTGAAGACATGGGCAACTCCAACACCAGGACTGTGGCTCTTCTAGATGATGCAGACTGCCACTGCATGGACCATAGCCCTACGGAACACAGATAGCTGGTCCATTCAGGAATGAGGCAGTGCCACGTGGTGCGGGTGGCAGCACCATTGAATGCAGCTCTTTGGAACCTCTGGGGGCTCTCAGTGGTGCACAGCTCTACATGGTGGTGCTGGCTGGGTCAGTACCAAGTGAAGCTTCATAAAGAGGCATAGACATGTACCTGCAAGGGAGCTCAGCAGAGAGGCACATACAACATTTGCAAAAGATGAGCCTCAGCAGGCTGGGCAAGAGGTATACATGGACTCTCGGTACTACTTTTGCAAATTCTCTAAAATTGTGTCAAATTTGAATATATTTATTTGAATTAATTTTTAAGTATTTTAAAAATCACAACCCTTAGGGATATTGTCAGTACTGTAGTTGAGTTCTTGGCACAGCATAGGTGATCAATGAACAAACTGTACAGTTACAACTAGTGCCTGCCTTTGCTGTTAGATGACATGTAAATGTTATAGAAACATTATAGAGAAAGCCCCAAAGATGCACTTTTTTCCTGGGTAATCCCATAAAAAATATTGAGTGAGCAGAGAGAATGGGATACAGTACTGCACAAAATCCTTGCCAGGTTTGGGTTGCAATAGAAATAGTTGGTATCAGACACAGACACAGCCTAAGGGGAAAGAAATGTGTGTTCATGGGGAGTCTCATTGTGGGGGTTTGTTTGAAGTTGTCTGGCCTGTTATCTTATTGGCAGGTAGTTGCTATGCCAGGCCTGGGGTAGGAATAGACATCATCCCAGCTGGGGTGGTGTAGCTCTTCTTCTTAGCCACTTGTCCTTCACAGTCTACATCTTGGCAAGAGATAATACTGCAGGTATCATCTGTTGAGGATTCGTAGTCAACAGACAATTATTGGCTCTTTTTTAACATAAGCAGTACATCATGCTTTGAGCATTCATAGTCAATAGACTCTTGTTGGCCTTTTCTTTCTTACCATAAGCAGTTTATCATGCAGCTCCCAGGACCTGAAGGGATGTTTGCTCTTAAGCAAGATGCCCTGCTTTAAAAGCCGCATTGTGAACTCAGGGCCCTTACACTAGGAACAGACTCAGTGTAGAGTTGAGCCTCCCAATCTAGAAAGAACTCCATAAGCTGGAAGGCATTCCGCAGCCTACAAGGGAGCTCAAGATTTGTTGGGACTGCCCCTAGATGCCAGGGGTTACCAGGTCCTGCAGTGTTTAGAAAGCACAGGCCTAGGGCAGCCCTTCCCTCACATTCAGTGCTGCTATCCTAGAGATAATGCAAAATGTGTGAAGAGCTCCAGGAGGAGGGCCCAGGCCCAGATCTTCTGTGGGGCTGACAAAACCCAGCCTGAGCTGGCTCTGCCCTGTCACTCCACAAAACCTTAGTCCCAGACACACTAACTTGACTGTCCTCCACCCTTCCAGAACCATTCCACTTTCATTATAGCCTGCCCCATCCTTTCAAACACAGGCAAACATAGCCTCCTGATCTGGCAAAGTTCTACTTTTCCCAGGCACCTTTCAAAGTCACCTTTCTCAGGCCAAGTGAGCCAGCCTTCTTTGGGGCTCCCTGTCCCACCTCAGCTCTCAGCATAGTAGACTAAGATTATTTTAAGGCCTGTCTCCCCATAGATGATGGGTTCCTTAAGAACAGAGCCCAAACCTCAGTCCTCAGTTCCTGGCATGGACTGGGGGACAGGAAATGGTGCTGAAATGGATGAGGGAGCCAGTGAGTGATGCAGGGGCTGAGGGAGTGTTGAGCACCACCCACTGCAGAAGCCCAATTCAGTTTTCTCCAGGGCCACCATTCATTTGGCTCACTCATAGGTAGGAAGACAAGAGTGAAATGAGACAGATTTGGCTTTTACTGTTGATTATAAAAGTAGCCCGAATGTGCGGAGACCCCCCTGGGGACGGATGACATCATTCTGGCCTGTGTAGAGTCTGCTGCTTTTCTTTTTTTTGGGGGGGGGGAGTCACATTGTTATTAGCTATTTTGACTATGCAGAGCAAAGGGTCCTTAGTGAAAGGCAAGCCTTTACCATCCCACCTGCCCGAGTCCCAGAAACTGCAGGCTCCACTGGCAAGGAGTCTGCCATACAGCCTAGTCCTGAGGCCTCTGGGAGTGGTAGGGTGGCCTCTACTTCCTAGCAGCCATACAATGGCCATCTTGGTACTGACGAGGCTCCCCATCTATCTATGCTCAGGGCAAAATAGAAGATGCTCTCTTTGGGGACCCTCTGAATAGCCTGGATCTCACTACCCTCCCATAACGCATCCCCTCGACATTCTGCATGCTGCTAGAAAGACAGGGCAATCTCAGAGAGCCTCGCCAAATGCCAGCCCCAGATCCACTATAAAATCAAATAGTCACATGGTGGGGTCTCTGCTTTAAAATAAACTTGGCTGTGACAGGGAATGTGAGACTGCTCTATTTTCCTCCCTCACCAGAGGGCTTAAAAAGTATACCACTCTGCCACTTCCAGTAGATCTGGCCAAGTTGAACATATTTTCCCAGATAAATCAACCCCCAGCAGCCATCTCCCAACATGAAAGGGATCCATCAGATTAAATAATCTCTGTGGGAAAGACAGGAAGAGAGCTTGCTGCCCTAGGGCTACCAGCAGCATGCACATACAGCGGGACCAGGAATGAAGCCTTGGCCCTTAGTATGGCCAAGGAACAGCCCTGGTGCTGGATAACACTATCCCACCTTTCAGTGTGTCTGGCCTGCTCACCTCCCGCCTTTCTGAGTTGCCTTGTGTCACCAAGAATGAAGGGGGAGGCAAGCTCCTGGAGAAAGCACGTGGGGCATGACTACTCTCTATTGGGAGCCTGTAACTACCCGAGGGGTAAAGTTACTTCATTTTTTAAGCCTCAGTTTTCTCATTTGTGAAACAGGAAAATAAAACTACAATCCTAAGGTCTGTAGTTTAGTTAATAATATTGTACCAATGTTACATCCCCAAACTCAACCCCTGTGCTGACAGGCTGAGTGATCCAGGCAGCTATGCTGCCCTTTCTGACCTCTTCCCCACTCTGAAGTGGAGATGCAGTCCTTGGTCATACCCCCTGCTGCCCAGGGCTCTCCTTGGTCCTCAGTGTTCAGTATTCTGGAAGGCAAACCTGGAAAGGCCCTCAGAGATTGGCTATTCCAATAGTCCCATTTTACAAATAAGGAAACTGAGGCCCAGAGAAGAAAAGGATTGACCTAAGGTACCTCTATCCAGGAAACTCTTTCTTCTTCCTCTTTAAAAAATTGTTTTTTGTTTATTGACTTGAGGGAGAGAGAGAGAGAGAGAGAGAGAGAGAGAGAGAGAGAGATTGATTTGTTGTTCCACTTATTTGTGCATTCATTAGTTGATTCTTGTATGTGCCCTGACTGGGGACCAAACCTGCAACCTTGGCCCTTGGCATATTGGGATGATGCTCTAACCAACTGAGCTACCCAGCCAGGGCTCATCTCTCATTTTTAAATTAAGCTTTTTTATTTTGAGGTAATAGTAGATTCATGTGCAGTTGTAAGAAATAATACAGAGATGTCATATAACCTTCACCCCCAGTGAGACATATCTCATCCTAAAAATGAGTCTGAGATAGGGGTAGAGTATGTGCATGTGCTCATATAGGAAGGTTGGAATGAGAAAAGTAGAAAGTACTATTATTCAATCAAAGACAGGCCTGATATGCTTTATCCCAAGCTGAAACTACAAAAATAATCTTTTCTTTCTCTTTTTGCAGTATCCAAGACAATTGAGAAACTGAATTCTGAGTAGACCGCTTTGCCCATTTACCCATTTGGTTCTTCCCAGACCTTCTGCCACCTCCCATACCACCCTCTGCTCCTGCACTGACTGCATTTCATTTGAAAAATGGAAGGCCCCATAAATTAAAACTGCTGGACAGCTCAGAATCCACCCCACATCAAAGACCTGCCAGTTCCCCTCAGCAGGCAGCTGTTTGCCCCATGGGACCAGAGGGTTTTACCTGGCTGAACCATGTGTGCTGTAAATCACCAGCTTTCTATGGAAACACCACTTCCTTTCTGTACCCCTCCGTCTCCCAAGTACCTACAGACACCAGCTCTCAACTGTCAGGCCTCAATGGTCATCTCATCATTATTTCCTCTCAAATTCCTAAATACCTGTAAGTGATTTGAGTTAATCTTGACAGACAACAGCACTTAAATACATTTTTTTGGCTTAAAAGTTGTGGCCCTCTTTTCCTTGGGCTGGGCAGAGAGAGTTCTTGAATAGTGATCATATTTAGATTTGGTTTTCAAAGTTGTGGTCAGTCCATACCTGGATATACTAAGGATAGTTTCTTTTGAGCATAGGAGAGAAGGGTAGGCTGGAAAGTGAAGGGCAGTTTGGGCCTGGGCAGGGCAGAGAGAAGGATAGGATGCCACTAGGGAGTCTCTTAAGTAGGCCATGGGGAGTAGATTACATTATGAGAGGGGAGGCTGGGCACACTGACTCAACACAGATAACAGAGGGCTTCAGAAGTTGCATTTGGCTATGGACTACAGCCTCTACGGTGTGGGGGCCATAGAACGATTTAAGCAAGGGAGTTGCCCAAGTTGTGTTGGAACAATATGGACAGTGGAAAATCAGGAAGAGGT